GGGGGGGGGGGGGGGGGGGGGGGGGGGGGGGGGGGGGGGGGGGGGAGAGGGGAGAGAGCTTTTGCGTGCGCGACGCCGTCAACAAAAAGAGAGGAAAAAAAAGGTACTAAAAAAGTTACAGCTTGCTTCTATCCTAATTCGAAATTGAAATCACCATATCCGCGCACGAAAGAGTGACGCGGGAAAAGAAAATCCTATGCCTATTCGTATTCGCACAAAATTCCGAGAGTTTTCCCCGACGCGACCAATAACATTCACACACACAAAAAGGACACGTCGACGTTCCGCTTATCTCGAAATTCCCAACTGCTGAGCCCAATTCCCAGTGCGCTCGCTAAGGCGCACGTAATTTCCTATGTATTTCCCGAATTGCAGAAAGGAAAAGCAGAACCCGGGAGTCGAAAAAGCTTCCGAAAGATAGGAGCCAAAAACGCGGTACCCAAAATCAAGAAAACGAAACGGGGTTTTTATGGGGTTGGTATGATACAAGCAAAAAAAAGGGTACGAAGGATAGCACAGGTTCGGGAAGTGGTTCGTCACATATGTGACGCGCAGGGGGTTTCAAAATTATGCCATCTCCTCATTGCATGTCATGGCGGAGAAGGAGAGAGAGAGGGAGAGAAAAGAGTGATGCATAAGGAACCAAGCGTGTCAACAAATGATGTGGCCAGAGTCCATGCTGACACCAACTTCAATTGCAATCTTCCGTTGGTTCGTGCTGCTGGACTACTCGATGGTCATCCAGGTGACGCCACCATCGTCCGCCGGTTTTCCGTGTGCTCTGCACCCAAGTTTATCGCTGTCCGTCGAATCAGAGCGTGAGTTGACGTCATCGTCGATGGCAGGATCTTCGCGAAGCTTGCTGATTCGTGCCTTTTTCCCTGCTGATTGGATGAAGAGGGGAGAGAAGGGGGAGGGGGGAGAGAGAAGAGATAGTCACGAGACCTACCTCCTAGTTGGAATTGGCCAATAGAGGCGTTACATGGAGGGAATTTCACGGGGAAGACGGGGAGGAAGTGGGGGTAGGAAGCGATTCATCCCTTCCATCGTCACCGGAAGCTCCTCATATCGGATGATCCGGTGGAAGTGGGGGAAGTGATCGCCGCTGCTAGGGAGGGAAGCGAGGTAGTCACGATAGAAGGAGGAGAGGGTGCGGAAAAGCACCGCTCGAAAGAACTCGAAGTGGCAACAGGCGGGGATTGTGCCCGTGGCTATGCAGTAGACTTCTACTACGTTGCATCATTCCCAGGCAACGCTTAACAGCAGGATATACCAGCAGAACGTTGGGGCAGCGGGTTGAAGGGATGTGTGGGGGTAGACGGTAGCGAGTAGGCGGGTAGAGTAGAAGTCGCGAAAGACATGGGGGAGGAAGGGATGGGGAGGGAAGGTGACGGGGGTGCGGATCTGCTCGAGGGTGAGAAAATCAAGGGGTCGGCGGGATAGCGTCCGAGGACGAAGGCTTATCGCCCGCATCTGTACGTGGGCGGACTGAGGGACAGGTGGGGCTGGGGGAGGAGGGGGATCAGCTCCGTCTCCGTTGCGCGGTACTTAAGGTGGCGGCTGCAGGGTCGCCATCTTCGGGCTTTGGCGGCTCCGGATCTCTGGTCGGATCGTTGCCAATGCGCAGGCTGGCTTCGCTGGCGAACTCTAGCTGGCGCTTCCCGGTGAAAATTTCTTCGCGCTTTCGCGCCGCTTCTGGATCTTCCGCCTCCGTTCCCATGCGCGTCGCTTCCTCCGGCAAGGCTTCCCACTCAGATCCGGTTTCTTCTTCCTCCTTTTCTCCTTCACTCAGCTCGCCCTCGCTATATTCGCTATAGCTTCCCTCCTCCAATGTTTCCTCGTCTTCGTCCTCCTCGTCGTCGTCGTCGATCACCACTTCCTCTGCCCTCGGATAAAAGGCGTGAGGGATGATATCGTACGGCTTCAGATACTCCTGCCGCGACGGCAACGTGTCTTCGTCCCTGGGCTCCTCCAAGCACGCAGTCCACTGAAGATATGGATCTAATGACCGCTCGAAAACGTGCGGAGTAGGAATGTTGTCACGCTGTGAATAGATGTCGGGCGAAAGATTGTCCGCCAACTGCACGATCGGCGTGAGGAGTTCCTGTGCAATTAGCTGGCGGCGCCTTGGCCGTACCGATCCAAAGAGAAAGCCAAGAAGATCGCCCTCCACGTTAGTCCTCCAAGCTTGGATGATCAGCAACTCCGGATTTTTGATCCACGCAGGATGCTCGCCGGTCTGCGTCCACGTCACCTGTACTCTGGCCAAGCAAAAAGACAGCTCAAAAGTTTCGCTCCACAGCCGCCAATGCCCAGGATTGATAAGAGGGACTGAAAGAGGCTCGAACGAGAAGGAAAGAGAAGGATGAAGATCGGATTGCCAGAAGGTGGGGAAGAGAGAGGGGAGACCAAAGATAGAGAGAGGTGCGAGACGATTGGCGTGGTTCATTGGGGATGTGGGAAGGGGACGAGGGTGGGAATCACAACTGGCCGCTCACGCGGAGAACGACGGATGTCGCCAAGATCCGGCGCAAAGGTCGGGATGAGATTGTGCCCAGGTCGGGCGAGAACGTGCTGCCACACGTTGGACACCTGCTCCGTTCACTCGCGCAATGAAGTCAAGATCACTTTGCGAATTGACCGAGCTGATATCGCCACTGAACGCCGCGATCGTGGTGACGTAGCTCGTTCTGGGAGCCGCTCGCCGATGAACTACGATTACCTCCGCAAATACTACTGCGTGAGGACTCCCCTCGATTTGAAACGCGGCGGTGGCACAGATACCCATGTCGCAGAAAAATTGTGCCAAACGTCGAAGATCCGTATTGAGCCGAGGATGACAAACTTGTTGGATCTCTGAGATGTGGCCACGGGCTGCAACAGCTGTACGTCAAGAACCTGCTCCGTGATGAAACTCATGGCGAGCTCGGACAGGAGGACGAAGGACAAGAGGGAGAAAGAGGAGAGAGAGTTAGATCGTCGTAGTTCTCCTCGCTTTCCGAGGAAGAAGGGGGAGGGAGATCAGAAGGAGGAAGAAGATGGAGGTAGGAGGTATGCCGGACGATGGGGAAAGAGCTATGGCTTGCACTAGCCTCAAGCGCGATGCGCACCGTGTTGGCGCCGTTGGGTCTGAGCTCGACAACGCGAAAACAGCCAGAAAAATGGGAGCGAGTTTCCGGTCGCGTGCACATTTACGTACCTGCACTAGGTCCCCTAATTTATATTTATACTGGGGCCCAAGATTTCCATTCCGAGCCTCGTAGCTACGGACCTGTCTACCATGGGCCAGTTTGGTCATCCTTTGCCTTTTTCGAGCGAGCTTCGAGACGGCCCGTTCCATTAATTTGGTGCACCTTTTGGCCTTGGCCTTGAGAGCTGCACGCGTGTCTCTACCCCCTGCTCGGCAATTTCCGAGTTACCCCGGTAGTCGACACAGGGGAGGCTATTAGTTCGAAGATGAAAAGGGGTAAACCCCATGGACTCGTGAGGGGTGGCCCGGTGGATCCCCACGATCTGATATACGATCTTGGGCCAAGGACGCGTGTCGTGTGCCGCTAAGTTCCTGCGAAGGGTGGTTTTAATCATACGGTTGGCATTTTCGGCCAGCCCATTCGACAGGGACACGTGGGGTGCCGTATGCAGTTCCTCTACCTCACCCTTGAATTCAGACCCATTGTCGGTCAGAATTTCTTCCGTATCTAGATGGGTATAGAGGAATCGTTCGATGTATGTAGCCATTTCTGCGGCTTTTCGGGTCTTACAGGGATAGACTTCGATGTATTTGGAAAAATGGTCTGTTAATACTAACAGGATAGAATATTCACAGCGGTTTGGGTCAGGTGGCACGTCGATATCTGTCGTGTCCATACTGACTCGCTGGAAAGGACGCTCTACTTCCGTTGGTACGATCATGTTTGGTCCCCGTATAGGGGCACAATCAGTTGCACAGACCAGACAGTTAGCGACAATGTATTTGACATCATCTCGTATATTAGACCAGAACCATCGGTTCTGATCTACCATTGCCTCCGTGACACGTATCACGAAATGAGCGGCCTGTTCTTCATGAGCAGATCGGATTCAATCATATCTCTGGAATGGATGGGGAACCGTCAACCACGAACTTGATCCGTCAGTTTTACGTTTTTCCAAATGACCGTTGACCCATCGATACTCCCGAGATATCTCGGTCGCCCTACGTCTGTCGTGTTTGGTGAGGTGACCCAATGATAATCCCGCTAATTTCACCAATAAAATTTTATCCGTCCAAACCTCCGCTCGTCGGTATTTTTCGTCRTATTMAGGGCCGTCCGTACGGGCGGCCTCGAATCGAACCTCCGTGGGRAGTTTGTTCGTTCTACASAGGGGGCACCTCCATTCCTTGCTAYTCGTCCGATATYGAACGCAGGCCCCGTGCGCACGATTGACACACGTGGCACATTCTACCCAGTCGACAAACCCGGTTTCAAAAGGATGACAGTCGACCCCATAGACCCGTGCAATGCACGTGCAAAAATAATAAAATTTATCGGGGAGGGTGGCAAAGAAAGCTGAGGACGTGAGAGGGGCAGAATTAGTTGGAGATGAAGGGGTTGCGGAGGCCAGCGGGGTAGTCATGATGATAAAGGAGGAGAGATAGGACTGAATTGTGGCGAGAATTAGTCCTCGTGCCACTTACGGCTTCGACAGGATCTTTACTTGGCCGTACCAAGGTTCGATCTCTTGTTCGGGTTCGTTCCACGGAATCACCTCCTCACCCTTCGGAACTTTCTCAGGCCGGTGCAGTCGTGTCAGTTCGTCCGCATTCCCGTGTCTCTCGTGCTTCCAATGACGAATGTCGAAGTCCATGCTCTGCAGCACCGTTGCCCATCGCCCGATCATGCCCGAGTAATCCTTCGATTTCTTCAGAGCCAACAGGGGCTCGTGATCAGTTACCAAGGTGAACTTTTGCCCGTACAGGTAAGCGCGGAAGTGGCTGATTCCCAGAGAGTCGCGTAGCATTCCCCCGTTGGAGCGGCGTAGTTGCGCTTGCAAGCGGGCACCGATTTAGACGCATACTCCACCACACTCTCGAGTCCGCTTGGTCCCACCTGGGCAAGGATTGCCGAAATTGCCTCTGACTCCCAGTCACTGATGATAACAAAAGACTTTTCGGGATCCGTTCTTATAAGGACCGGAGCCGAAATGAGAGCGGCCTTGAGTTTGGAAAACGCTTGATTGCATTCCGGCGTCCAGATCAACGGCTGATCTTTGCGCAGCAGATTCGTGAGGGGTCCCACAATCGCCGCGAAGCCCTTGATAAATCTTCGTTAGTACGAGGCCAGGCCCAGAAAGGCGTCAACTTGCGTGATAGTTGTAGGCACCGGCCCATCCCTGACAGCTGCCACCTTCTGCGGCTCCGGCTAGAGTCCCTTGTCTGTCACCACGTGCCCCAGAAAGGAAATGGGGGTGAGGAAAAACTGACACTTCTCAAGCGTCACTTTGAAACCCGCATCTCGTAACGCGTGCAGTGCCCATTCGATGTGTTGCAGGTGTCCCTCGTAGGAACTCGAGTACACCAAGATTTCATCCATGTACACGATCATGCAGTAGTTGATGATGCTCTGCGCCAAACGAGTCTTCCGCACAAAATTCTGAAAAGCCATGTTCATGGCTCGCTGGAAGGTCGCGGGGGCGTTGCAGATACCCATTGGACATCGAATCCACTGCCATGTACCTTCGAAAAGCACAAATGTCGTTTTCGGACGATCTCCTTTTCGAACAAGAAGATGATGGAACCTATGACGAACATCAAACTTGCTGAAAAATCGAGCACTCCGAATCACATCCAACAACTCATCAATCCGAGGGACGGGGCAGACATATTTGATCGTGATATCATTCAACTTTCGATAATCAATGCAAATGCGAATCCCTTCGGCCTTTTTAGGCATGATTACTACGGGAAAAGATCAGGGACCTATGGCGGGCTCGATCCATCCATTAGCTTCGAATTCTTTAATCCGCTGAAAAGCGGCCGCTCGTTGAGCAAGCGAGTATCGGTAAGGAACGCAGCTAATGGGTGGATGGTCTCCCGTGAGAATGCATGCTCGATCACATTAGTTAACCCGATGTCATTATCGTGTATGCTCAATACTTCTGTGTAACCATTTAACACACAGATTAACGACTTCCGAAGTTCCACGGGAACGTGACTTGGTAGGGTGATCGTTGATTCTCCGGAAATCTTAAGGGGCATATCGACCTAATCAACCGGTCGTTCCCGTCGATCGTAGACACTAAGAGAAAACGGAGCTACCGGTGCGAACAAAGAAGACCGTTGCTATCATCTGGGACTCAGCGGGGCTGATCATCTCCGTTTCTTTAGTTTCCGCATCAGTCTCTGAACCAACCAAGGCCAGTTCCACGATTAGTCCCGTTAGATCCATCATTTCTTGCATCAGATCAAGTACATCACTCACTGGTGCTTCCGCGTCCTGTTTAATTAGAGCGATGGTGGCTCCTGTCGTAAGTAACAATCTGGGCGAGAAAGTAGAAACATCCAAATATTGTTTCGTTTGCTGATAACGTGTTCGTAAGGAGAGAGCTCCTCCGTACAAGGTGCGAGAGGGTTCCAAATCATCGGCCAGGTCAGATACTTGTAATATGGGTTCCCCAAGCAGGACTAAAGGACAGACAGGGGTTATCGAGGGCGCAAGCACGCTGTCTTCTGAATCCACGTGGAAGCTTCGGGCACGGTCGGGACACACTTGAAATTCTTCGGGAATTTCATGTTCGAAAAGTTCAACCAGATGCTTCCATTCATCTTCGCTAGGCAGCTTTTCTTCGTATTCCTGTTCCCTGATTCCTCTATCGACATCTGAGGAAGAACACTCCTGGGGATTAATGTATCGAATCATTCCTATTTGGGCCGAGTTAGGGGTTCGTTTTATCATTCGGGGGGAAATTCGCAAAGAAACAATTTGAGGTTTTTCCCCTGTTTGGGTGAGCACCAGTTGTTTTGAATCGAAATGCAATTGTGTGCCCACCGCTATCGCCCAAGGTAGTCCCAACAGCACAGAATAGGAACGTACATCTATCACGAGCGCATTGACAAGGACGTGTACTCGTCCGACTTTTACAGCCAGATTCTAAATAATGCTTACGATATTCATTGCTTCTTCGTCGGCGGAGACATAATTGTCTTTGCCAGATTGAGGAAGAATGGACCCGAGTCGTCCCGTCTTTCTGACAGTATCTAATGATATGGCTACTGCAGAAGACCCCGTGTCGATAAGAGCGTTAAACGGCTTGCCCCAAACTTCGCAATCACATTCCACGCTCTACCATAATACCAGTCGAACTCTTACAAGGTGATTTTTTTTTGCTAAAGAGATCGCTGCTATTCGTGCTGCCTCAGGTTCGCCGGCTTCAGGTTCGGGCTGTGCAACTTCCTCGCTTCCTTCCTTCTTCTTCAACATCCGTTGTATGCGCTGATAGGTGAAGCACTTTTAATTTTTCTGGCAATGTTGTAAAAGTTTATCGTTCGCCGCTTCAGATATGGTGGGCAGATGTCCCACCGGGATCGGAACACGAATATCCAATTGTTTGAGTGTTCGTAACACATCAATCTCTCCCGTTCGAAATTGCGAACCAGGATTGGATTCACAGTCGACCCATTCGAGATCATCAGGGGCCGATAGGATCGCCTCGACCATGCCTGCAAGATGAAGGTATTCGAGAGGATTGACCACGTCAGCAGCGTCAGAGGGGGAAGCTCCTGATGTCGACGACATTGTCGTCGAAGGGGAAGGCTGCTCTGGGGCATATGCCACGAGCTCCCCTCCTTGGGCCGTATCCATTAATGCGGCAACTCGTCCTTTATTCAGGGCCACAGGGGCCGCCGCAGGTGGGGGCTGACTACGCTTTGACTGCGGGCAGTCTCGGGCGAAATGCCTGGGCTGTTTGCAGTTAAAAAACTCGATCTTTCCTGCTGGATTAGCTAGGTGAGGGAACTGAGGTGCATACCCTTGAGCAAGAGCGGCAGGCAAGAGCGGAAATGATGCTGGAGCAATCCGAGCAGGGGTCGGGTTAGGCCTAATTAGTCTGCTCATTATCTATTCCATCCACTCCATATGAGCGGCCTGCATTTGGATCAAGTTGCTCATCCATTCGGACTGCTTAGTAGTGGTTGTATGGATCATTTGGGCAAGATGTAAGTTGGTTACGGCCGGTGTGGGGAATTCATGGGGGACTCTGCTCTTAACTGCCGCTATCGGTTGATTCACAGGGGGAGAGGGAGAAAAGACAGTCGGGATATCGGAAGCAACCCCATCGGGAAGGTCATGATCGAGGCGGGGATAAAACTGTTCTACCGCCTGTAGCCATGATCGCCTTTTTGCCGCTACATCCCGTATGGTATCGGTAATATCTTTGTCTCCCTGGCTGATGTATTTTTTTGTATCTGCCAGGTCCAGTTCCAATGCTTTTGCGATGATAGCAGGGAGCTGGTGTGTCTTCGATGAGACTTTTTTTTGCAGTTTCCCTTTCAACGTGGGACTTCGTAGGTGATCGATGAACAAATCTCGAGCCGATTTCTTGTCTCGCCCAAATTTGTCCAACGTGGTTTGAAATCGATCCACGAAATCAGGCAAAAATTCCCCGGGTCCTTGTGGCCAATTTTTTAGCACGTACCAAGCGGCATCTTCACTTACCGTATCAAATCGAGCCAAGAAGGCCTGTTTGAAGGTATCCCAATCTACCCACGTATGTTTTCTAAACCAGTCATGCGACGTATTGCGGAGTAGCAATGTCACAACGCGGGGAAGATCGGTTGCGCTGTAATTTTGCGCTTCGACTGCTTCCAGCCAAGCCTCGGGATGCGTATGGTTAGGGAAGAAAGGGAAGGGGGCGGGGATGCTAACGATCACCCTAGTACCATCTTCCATCGGCATGGCAGGTGCAACCGCACCGGATTGAGACCTGGTCACTGGGCGATCCCGACAAGCTAGTTGAGGGCCTCTCCTACCTCTCGCCAGTTCGACTTACTATCATCAGAACCAACACGTGTCGGCTCCGATACCAACCTCACACCCTGTGCTGTCTTTCATTCGGAGTGTTAGGCGTGCGGAAAGAGGCCCAGAAAAACAGCAAGATGAAGTGTACCAAGGATTTTTGGAAATTGAGTGTGGGGACACAGATGGAACTGAAATCCCCCGTGTTGGTCCGATGAAGCAAGTCGATTGCCTTCGCGGGTCGCGGAATGCGCAAGCGGGCACGGCACGAAAAGAGAAAAATCCAAATTCAATCCAAAAAGTATTGTCGGGCTTCCCACCATGCTACAGCCCGTCGTTTAAAACGGAAAGGCTTTGGCACGCCTCGCGTGTCTCGTTTTCGTATCAAATCTCGTCGTCATTCCTTGGTCAGTTCCGAGTCTTACGTGGATGGTCTCAGCCGCGTGGCTCCTTCTTTATGCTCGTCTTCACTCCGCACACGGTAGTGGAAACCCCTGGATTTGTAGCGCTCAAAACTGACATTTTGTGCATAGAGTGCGCGGCCAGTGGGGTTCTACTGCCGTCCACGGGATGACGATCAACTCGTTGAATGGCAACAATATCGAGTAAGGTGGGAAGTGTGTATCGATAAGGACAAACCCAGCTTCCACGAACCCGGATCAACGATTTGCCGAGGGGAAGTAATACCGCCCGCCGATTTGTGCAACAGCTTCTCGTACGTCCCACTCGCATACACGTGTCCTTCCCTCGTTGTAGGGAAAAGGCCGTGTTGGGATGGGAGGTACGGGAGGCTGGTACCCAATCAGAGGGTACTGGTCAGTCCACATATCAATCAATTGTAAAGACCTGGCGACGTCATTAAGAAAAGAAAACACTTGCGCAACTCACAATCAATCCCTTTCAACACGAGAGTGAGAGAGGGCAAAAGAAGATACTTCCGCAGCTAGGTCATGCATATAACTAAGTGACCGATCCGCAGCTCAGGTTTAATGAGCCAGCGCGACGTTGATCCCAGGCGCCTTGTTTCTCGAGGCCGCCCCGTA